TTTTATCTTTTTTTTTTTTTTTTGGATGACTCAATAAGCTTTATGGAATGTCAAGTTATCGAGATTTGAGTTTCAGGGACACCAGTGTACACACACACACAATGTTCAGAGATGTAAGCAGAAATTTCCAAGTCTGGGTCTTTTGTATCACTAATGGTTTATGTAGATTTAGCATAGAGATAGACTATTGTATTATAAAAATGCCCACCTCACTAGCAATGCATAGTCCAAGAAGCATACCAATATGGCAGCTTCTTGTATTTCATATGCAAACCAGTCTTTTCTTTACCTCATGTCTATTCACGCAGTCTAGTATTTGAATCTGATGTGCCTGTTTTCTGTTTCATCCAGCGGTAAACTGCTTGTGACTTTCTTTTACACTGTTTCCCTTTAAACACATGTGGGGTAAAAGTTAGAACTAGCAGCGAGTGAGGAGCAGAAAAGTGTTAGTGTGGAAAACACCACCCCTTGTTGCCGCCTTCCTTAATATATATATATTAGAAAAACCTCTAAATCAAAATTATATAAAATGTCAAAGTATCATATGTTTTTATAATTCAATACATAAACTGTATTCAACATACTTCTATAATGCATAACAATCTTATTGATCATAAAGATTTAAAAAATTTAGTTTAAAAGTTATCATAAAATTAAATTATTTACTATTTATTTTGTTACTAAAAGAACAAATATCTACAATACTCTCTTTACTTTTGAAATGCAGAATTATAAATCCAATATAATCAAAATAAAATGTATATTAGTCAAAACAAATTTTTGAAGTTAACAACAAACCTGTTCTTTATATAGATACAATTTGTAACAAATTTTCTAAACAGCCTGAAAATTAAAAACAAAAAATACAAAAATTCTGGAAACAGCAGCAACACAACATTTAATAGATAAAGATCTGCACCATTTGAAAAAGGCATGTTAATATATACTGGAAAAAAAATTAAAAACAAAAATATGTAATATATTAAAGTTTCTTGCCTGTATTATTTAATTACAGAAACTATTTACTTACTTAGTTATTACACTGTGTGTGTAATAAGTTTGTTCATTTAGTCATAAGTAAGTAAATAGTTTTTGTAAAAATATTCCCCACAAACAGTACAATTTACATATCTTAAAAACGTGTTTAGAGAAATATTTAAATGCAATTAATCTTTGATATTTGAAATAATTGATTTCAGCAATTACTATTACATAAATGTAAAAACAAATACAGATTACATCTAAAGATGAGTATTTTTTGTTAACAAAAGTCTTTGAAAAATATTTTAACAATTTTGTTTTAAAATAATAATAATAATAATAAATCATTAATATATTCAATGTACAGTATTTAAATTTAATAGATTATATGTATATTCCACATGACAATGTATTCTTATATATAATATTGACAGGTGTTAAGTTAAATATTGACAGAAACTAAAAATAAACATTTAGAATCTATAAATTTGTAATTACTGATACTACAAAGCAAAATTTTACAATTTGAATAAAATACAACTGATATATATATCTATCTATCAGTTACATGTTTAAATTGTATATAATATTCATATTGATAATTCTTAAGCAATTAAAAATAGTAGCAGTAATGCAATATAAAGGGATACAGAAACTTGTCCCTTGCTATAACAAGTGCCTGAATTTAAAGAGAGATTATGTTGAAAAGTAGCCTCAACAGGTAGCTAAGTTTTGTAAATACTGTAATAAAATTGTTTTTTCCTTTCTTCATTTTCTAACTGCTTAGTGGAGATCAATTTCCAAATAGCTTTCATACAAACTATAGTCCATGCAGTGAAAGAGTAGACATGAATCAGCTTGAGCTAGAAGAATCTATGTCAGAGGAAAGGAGACATGTAATTAATGAGTGAGTAACATTAGAATTAAAAGCAATAAAATTATTTAAAAAAAAACAACATTACGATAAAGATGGTATAAAATGTTTTATAAACGTAAAAAAAACAGCTGAAAGAAATCAGATCAGCTCATGTCAACATGCCGCCTTTCATCTGACAGACGCTTCAGCTCAGGCTGACTCATGTCTACTCTTTTGCTGAATGGACTATATTGAAGAATTAAATGTAATATTACAATTAAAATAACATTTAATTTAATGTATGAAACTATTGCACTTAAAAATATTGTAACAGATCATCAAAATAATGGTGTAAAAATATATTAACTTAAAATAAATATTAATGATTATAAATCTTAAATTTCAAATTTTAAAAAAAGTTTAGATAATTTTCCATAAAAATCAATAACTATTTCTTAATTCTATTTCTACCATTTTTTAATAGTAATTCTTTATTCTCAGTCCAACATAAACAAAATATAAGGCCAGGTTTTACATTATTTAATAAAAATTCTATATTGTGATAATTTCCAAAATGCACTGCAGTAATTTGTTATTGAATAAAATATAGTAATGCGATCCAAAGGCAACAAATATTATTTTAAACATTCTAGCTTTTACATTACTAATAATTAAAAATACTAATGAATTTGAAAAGTAAACAACAATAGCTTTTTCATCAGGAGAAATCATATTCAATGTTTCAGATATTAAAAAAAGAAAAATATTTTCAGATGTGAAAATCTGATTTTTATAATTTCATATTTAAGAAAAATATTAATACTAAATCCTCTTTTAAAACAATTTCAGTATTCAAGTAAACAATACTGAAAACAGCACTGTCTTTTCAACATTACCTATGTTTAATAACAAAAAGAAATGCATTTTTTTTAATTTCAATATTCTAAATGTAACTTTGAATTCATGCTTAATAAGAACTCTAAATTAATTGTTTTAAAACAATTAATGCCAAGATTTTTCTCCAAATAAATCTAATAAATAATGACCAGATTGTTCATGAAAATGTGTATTGCTCAAATTATCAAAATTACTTAGCTATTTAAATCATTGATAATCATTCATATTTTTGATTATTAGAACAGCTAAACAATGGAAAGGGTTACAGGTTTTTTTCAGATTAAATATTTTGAGATAATGCATATATTAGATTCACAGACAAAATCCCATCTTACATTGAGAGTGAATAGGTTACAGCAAAATCCATATAGCAAATAAGTGTCTCTTGTTCTGAATGTTGCTTTAACTTACACTTAAGTTAATGTGTTAAACAAAGTTTTCAATTTGTTTTCACAAGCAAGGAGAAAATTTTAAACAATCTATTACAGGGAAACCTGATATTATCCTGGTCGTCTCTTAAAACCAGTTCCGTTTAATTATAATTCAAGATCTAAATAAATTTCCAAATAATAGTATAATATAATAATAAGAAGAAAACATCAAAAGAGGTAGGTCTTCATAGAAGTTGTTGACGGTCTTAGATATATAGATTACATATTTAATTAGATAAAACACCCGACATGATAAACACCCGACATAGTGAAAATTCGTTCGTCCTTGCTATTCATTATATGTACNCGTCTCTTAAAACCAGTTCCGTTTAATTATAATTCAAGATCTAAATAAATTTCCAAATAATAGTATAATATAATAAAATTTCCTTTAGAATTTGAAATATTCTTACATTCACAATTTAGACAACATTAGGTAAATATGTTTGTAATTTTAGATATTATGCAATAAAAGTAATCAAAAATACTGATAAAAATGATAAATTCATATTTCTTTTCAAATGCAATAATTTATTATGAACAAAAATTACATAAGGAATAGCACAAACAAACTCAAAAAAATTGCTTTTTAATAGACATGCTTTTGCCAAAAGGTTAAAGTTATGTTAGGTACTGTACCACTACATCTCATTAGAAACTTTATTTTTTAAATATATTTTGTTTGCTATTTCAAAAGTAAACATCTAATATTATTATTGCAATGTTAAGAAATTACAAGAATATTGCATTAGAGATTCTTCTCTTCTTAAAATTTAATAGAATAATTTTAAAGTTATGCAAAAATACAACACACAGGGCAACTCTAAAATAACAAATTTTTCCCAATATTAAAACATTACTTTATCAAAAAGTTAATATTAACAATAATTATTATTCAATTTTACAGTTTAATATTTTCTCATATTAAAAATTAGGTGGATTTATTACAGGATAGATTTCAATTTTAATCCTGTAATAATGGCCATTTTGAAAATGTTTCATTTCACTTCAATCAAACTACAACATTTAAGAACATCAGCTATTTAACAAATCTAAAAATTCTTTTTAATACTCATTAAGCACGTTCGATCCAAATTTATTTAGAAAATTTGGACAGAACACGGTTTCAAAATTTTCAGAACACTTCCTAGTACATGCAGAATATTTTCCTCGCAAATTTTTATCCCATTAACACCAGAACATCAACATTTCACCAACGTAAGGTGTGCATATCACAGAATAATGCAAATATCTTTCCAACCTCGAGCACTTCACTTATTTATTCGTCCAAATAAATCGGCAAAGTTAACCTTTCATGTATAATCATCATCCACGTAATAATCATTTAATCGTTTAAACATTTTTCTGGATATCGTTTATAGACGCACCAAATGCAGCATACCCAAACAATTTATATATATAATTTGTATCATCAAACATGTATATGTACGGATTATTATCTGATTTCCTTCTGAAAACCGAAATTAGAAACAAAATTTCCTCTTTAAACTTTAGCTTTCTGATAAAAATAAAGGGGGAAAATAGTTTTATATGAGTTTAAACACTTAAAAACTAAAAGATCCAAGTTTATCAACCCAAACTACTTTACTTTTTCAGTTTTTAAGCATTTAAAGTGCTTATAAAGCAGTTTATAAATTTAGAAATTGTGAAACGTTTCATTCTTTTGCATTAAAACAGGCTAGAGACTGGGAATTCCTTTGATATACCAATAAATTATTGCATGTAAACATTACAATTCATTTTTAAATGGAGTATTTTTGTGTTAAAACGAAACAAGAGGCGAAATAGTAGTAGAAAGTGTGTCCGATACTTACATGTATTAGGACTGGATGACGACCTTTGGCAATCAAAACAAGCGACGACTTCACCAATAAACTTTCGTTTTTTAAATGTAATTGTAACTCAAACCTAAAGTGACTAAACTAACCCTAACTTAACATCGTTCCATTCTCGGTTAATTCTCCGTCATTTAAGAAAATAAACAATCATATTTAATATCTCGATTAACTCGTAAACAATTATTTATAATCGTTATTTTAAAATATAATAATTTCCGTTCGCTGTTATAAACTAAGTTATAATTCTTCACCAACTTCACGTCGAGATAACAAAATCTCTCCCATATACGTCACACGGTTACTCGACAATGCCGTCTGGCGTCGTAAATCGGAATCAATTTTTTTTTTCTTCTTCTTCTTCTTTTTCTTCTTCCTAATTGTATTACACAATTTGTAAAACATTAAATAATTATTATTCCTCGTATTTTTTTAAAATGATTTTTCAATTGCAATTAAGCCGATTAAATTTTATAACGTTTTATAATGTTTATTAAATTTCTGTGTGTTTTATACCGAAATGTTTCTCAATTGAATTAAGTGTTGTAATTAAGACGTGTACGAGTCCTTGAAATTTTTTCAAGGAAAAGATTCTGTTTTGTTAATTAAAATTTGAATATAGGAGATAATAGTTTTATATTTATTTTAAAATATGAATACATATATAATCATTTATTTTACTACGCATTCGATATTAGTTATTTGCAGAATTTTTTTTTTGTGGTTAACTTAAAACGTTTTGCTTTTTATTTAAATTAGTAATTTGTTTAAATTTATTTAAATAAATTCAATTATATCAATTCTATCTTTTAATCGCTTGAATTATTTTCGTGTTTTCATTTTACCATTACAAAAATAATCGTGAAGTATGCATATATCGAGCGCCGAACATGTCCGTTAACTCTTTAGAAGATATAATTTTCTGTTTTAAATATGAAGCTACAATAATATTTATTAGAAAAAAAATAATAAATTTTAAATTGGAATTATAAGTTGGATTTTCTTAAGGAATGTATGCGTAAGGGAGTTTTTCCAACGTCCGTATATAGAATTAATCGTCCGAAAGATTGTTCTTCGTTTAAAAGAATAATTCGGTGCCTAAGTAAATCAATTAGGATCATATAAAAAAACATGAAATACAGAACTTTAGAGGATTTCACTAGGCTAGAAGACAATCCTTGCAGGGTTTTCTTTATGTATTTTGTAAAAAGAAAACCTTCTTTTAACCTTGCAGTAAAAGAAATAAACAGGAGGATTATAAAACTAACAGACCAGGTATATCGCAGTCTAAAAATGAAAATATTGGAAAAAAAATGAAGTGGATCTTGAAGAAACAAGTTCCAGAAGAAAAGGAAAGTAAAGCAACATCGTTTATTCTGTGGGACCAAATTGATGTACCAAAAGAGGTAGGAAAAGTATTAGAAAAAGATCTCAACTATGTTCCTGATAACACAGGCCTATGGCAAACATCAATGGCATAAATATTTAGAGTTTTAAGTCACAATATAATAATTTAAAATTATTTTGCACTGTGATAAATTTATAGAAGAATGATTAAATATAAGTAAATCGAAAATGAATTATGACTGTTTCGAAATAGATGTAACGTTAATTTAGATATTTAATGATTCAACAGACTATACAGATTCAACATTAATTTAATTTTCTCTTTTGTTTTTTATTCTGGATGTGAAAATAGTTCATTTTACAAATACATTGATATATGAAATTTTGATAATAGTTATAAGTTATAATAATCTCTATTGGATAATCTTTTAAGAAGTAAACCCTTCTTTATACTACTACTTTTTCAACAATTCTTAATAATAAATTAAAAATAGATTATAATTATTAAAATAATGTTTACAATAAAATGTGTGATGCATTAATAAAACTCTTCACAAAAACAAATAGTAAAGTGAATCACACATTTTATTGTATACTTCTAGAAGAATAAAATAAAAAAATTCTTTCAAAGTTTCTAGTTTAAACATTTTTTAATGTAAAAAAAACTCGTTTAAACATTTTAAAGGCGTGAAATTTCAAAATTAATGATTAAAACACTTTAATTCTATATTTAAATTAGAATGTTTTAACAATTTATATCGCTGTGAAATATTTTCTATATTTATAATAAATAAAAAAATTTACTAATATTTATTTATTTTCTCATTTTTTCATTGATGTCATTACTGAATTTTAATCATAGAGAGTCACTCCCCAATGTAATTATCAAGCAGTTAAATGATATTTGAGGAACTTATCACATTATATCATATTACGACATCATATTATCAGAGGGTATATTGATCACCTTTGAAAAAACTAAAGAACGATTAATTAATAATAAATATTTAAAAATTTTATATAAATTTGAAATCTTTAAAATAATTTTCATCGTGCACTTCTTTGCTACAGATTTTTCTTTAATTAATTAAATTCTTACTCAAAGTTTGAATGTATAAAATATAAAAGTTTTAAAATATTTTAAATGTAAATAATAATTCATCTCAATACAATTTTCAATATAAATTAATATTTTTAGCTTATTTACATTCAAATTTAAACAATAAATAATAATAATACTACTAATAAAGCTTGAATAAATACATTTATAGAATTAAGTCCTAAACATTAAAAAAACAAAATATTTTGTTAAAAAATTGCAAAATCAAGAGATTTTTATAGATCAAATAATGCTTAATTTGCAAAAATTATTTAATTTTACAATTAAGTAATAAATTGAATAAATGCATTTTCATTCAATTTATTGATAATAAAAATTAGTTTTAAAAAGTTAATAAAAGAAGAATAAAAAAATAAAATAAAATTAGAAATTTGATGATCAAATTATAAAAATGATAAATGTCATCAAAGATATTATTTGATAAAATTAAAATATTTATTTTAAAAAATGTTGACTTATTAAACATTTGAATAGATTTATTTAAAGAACTGATATTTGTAATTATAATGAGTAATTACAAAAATCTAGAAATATTCAATAATATTTTTATTTTTAAATATTTATTTTTTAAATAATTAATTTTCAAAATAATTAATACAATAAATGTATATTTAATTTTATATGTTAAATGAAGTGATTATAAATATATAATGAAATGTATTATAGATAAGAATAGTTTATTATATCTGAAAAAAAGAATATATATTAATTTAATTAAAGAAGATGAATGCAGAATTTATATCCAAATGCAGGAGAAAGTAAAGGAAGCATATTCTCTTACTTAACCAAAATTTAAAATTAAATTAATTAAATATGACAAAATACAGTTACGTTTTCTTCCATAAAATATATTTTTATATGTATAAATCTTTTAGGATTTATTTTAAAAAATATAAAAAATGTACAGTACATACAAACCTATTCCTGATACTTCTCTTAGGATAATACCTGGATGTGCTACTGTACAGAGATATGTAGATTGATTACATTTCCAGACAGTAACATATCCAGCAAGTCTTATAACTAAGGCTAGGATATTTAAGCACCAACAATATATAAATACTTATAAAAATCATACAAGTTATAATTTTTATTACTATCTAAATGATTTTTAGTGCCTAGTTGTCCTAGCTCTAGTGATGAAATATATAAAGTAAAATATTCTTTAAATATATACATAAGAACAAAATTATAATATTGTATTTTAATTTGGATAGACAGAAATTTAAACTATAGAAGTTCACTTTATTAGTTCATACATTCAATAGAAAAAAAGACAAATATCCTAAATTATAATACATTTAATAATAATAAAAAAATTATTAAAAATATCTTATCATTTCTTAAAGTACATAAGATAAAATTAAGTTTTATTTTTTCTTTCTTAAAGACATTTTAATGGCACTTCTTTCGGCAAATTAAGCGGGTAAACAAATACAATATGCGAAAATAAAAGTTTAAAAAACGATTACGAATGTAGGTATTATGCCAATATATAAAGGAAATTTAAAAAAAAAAAATTGTAGTTGCAGTTAAGAAGTTCAGTAACCTGCATTTCCTGCATCAAAATATAACGAAACTTCCTTCAGAACAAGATTGGAGTTAATAATAAATGACATTTATAATTGATTTTATTGAGTTTTACGAAATGCAATATTCGATATTGAATTGCGGTTGTTTAAATCTCGATCTGTTAGATTTGAAGCGCGTATAAAATTATTAATCGACATAAGTTTATGAAACAAATCATATTTTACAGTCGACCCCCCTATAACACTTTTGATTATTCCGTTTTATATGAATTCCATGTTGTACGAGTCACTTAGATTTTATAAATACGTGTGCCGGGCTGTGAACGGCTCACGTATTTGTAAAATCTAAGTGACTCGTACAACATGGAATTCACATAAAACGGAATAATCAACAGTGTTATAGGGGATCGACTGTATTTTTAAATTTTTCTCTACCTATCCCTCGATGAAAAATTAAACTTATTAACTCAGAAAATTTTATATTTAAGATTCGAGTTGTATAGAAAATATATAATAAGTTATATTAAGCAAGTTTGATTTACAAAAGTTCAGATAGATTGCACCCCATGTGCCATGGTCTATACTTTCTTAATAAACAAACTCAACGAATTTCTTTCCAAGCATTTTGCATGTTTTTAACATTTAAGTTAATAAATACTGTATCCAGTTTTACTCGCTTTCGAATAAAGAGATATCGAATTTTTAATTTTTCAAAATTCAAACTTGATAAAGTATTGTTAAGAATGGTTTTTAACACGTTAACGTTTTTTAACACGTGACTTTACTTTTCATATTATTAACGATTGTTTCGGAGTAATCGGGCCGTCTATTGTCCGTTGGCATTAATATCAAAGTTTGGTTTTGTATTCGAACAAAAACTTGTCTCTCCAATAGTATTAAATTCTATAATTTAACGGCCCAATTTACTTTCCTCTATAGGAAATTAAGACATTATCGGGATAACTTTCCTTCTTTTCTTCCATTCTGTTGATAAATCACGCGATTTTCGTTTCGTAATCGAATGACGATAAAAAAAAAGGTGTTTAACAATAACACTAGTTTTATTGTTAAACACCTTTTTTTTATCGTCACAAATAAGTATATTTTGGTCTCGTATCATAAATACATACAGACGAAGAGATTAAAATTGTATTTGTATACAATTCTGAGAATCCAGACTGCAGCTGACAAAGTAGATAATGAAAAACTTAAGAATTTCGAACTTTTTTTTTAATGATTTGGGATAATCACTATAACGAATAATGGGTTTTCGGAACCATTTAGAATAAGGAAATATATAGAAAAAAATTAAAATATC